CACTAACTACCTCTAACAACTCTTATCTTGTTTATTTTCCTCCTAATCTAACCTCATATTCGGGGTCGCAGGCCCCGAAAATGCTGGATTCGACTCTTGGCTCGCCCAATTTCATCGAGGTTTGAGCGAGCTAYGAKTTATYCCACYCGCCATAGCTTCCTCCCCAATGGCTGTACCTGGCGCTGAACCCTGGCCAGGTTCGTTCACTCYTTCCTRCTACCTGTCGCCTTCCCTCACCGCGTTGGCACCCGACACCCGYTGGTACGTAGCGCTGTCCGCCTCCTACTACGCAGCGCTGCCCGCTGCGCTACCTGCTTRACAGGTCTTAGTCATTYGGCTTTCACTGCCTCGCCTCCTTGCCTSCCAATCACTCATCCGCCCAGYGTTGTCCCCCTTCGTCAGCGTACATCTGTGCGGCGCACATTCCTACACARGCTAGCTCGTGGCTCGCCAGTCCCGACCATTTCAATAAGGTYCGAGGACGRCCGGCTACCAGGTGACTCAAACATCTTCTGCCACGCYGGCGTRGCTGGAACCTCCGCCAATGCCTCCCCCGACSTCGTCCTACACAGGYAGCGCSCGCTGCCCTCCGTGCCTTTGCRACAGAYCCCCGCAGGGGCCTTTCACAGGAGTTCACTGAGTCMAACGCCCARGCCTACTGCAAACTTGCAGCGCAAGYCTTGGTAGATCGGGCCCTGGTGCAGACTTTGGTGGTAGTAACAAAATATCCAAATGAGAACTTYGAAGTSCCRAGTGGGCACAGGCTCCGTGGGGACCGCTACTGCAGCCAACATTAYTGCGGCCAGCATTGCTGCAGGCCTCCCGACAATGCCCCAAGCCAGACGCGCCCAGGCGCAGTCCCGCYTGTCGAGTCCCAGCGAGTTTGCTCACACTCATCTTCTCACAGCAGATCGTGGTTGGCKGATAGTGCACCCKCAWAGGGGTCCCGCCACTCAGGTYTCTTCCGCCTCGTGGGCTAATCACCTACCGGCTCGCATACCTGTTGGACCATCAGGCTYGTAATTTCAAAACGGCRGAATGGATAAATTTCGCTAGCATCCCGAACATACAGAAACCCATGAGTCATACGTAAGGGGCACGTGCTCTAGGTCCTCGACTGGCGTGGTGATTACAAAAACCCGGCTTCGCGTCNATCCCGAACATACAGAAACCCATGAGTCATACGTAAGGGGCACGTGCTCTAGGTCCTCGACTGGCGTGGTGATTACAAAAACCCGGCTTCGCGTCGAAGTGAAAGAAATATCGACGCGTAAATAATGACAAAAATAATAAACAACCCTTTTTTTTAACGTCGCGGCCCGCCAAACCAAAGTGGGATAGCCCCGTCAGGCCCTCGACCTCCAAGCCTCCGTAGTAGTAGCCCAGGGTCGTAACCTACAGGGGTAAGCCCAAGCCTTTAACAACTAAGCCCGAGACCCCATGTGAACTGATACGGCGCAGTCGTCCAGGGCCACGAAGCGCTCTGTGCCTTCCTTCAGCCTACGCCTGCGTACACGGCCACCAAAAATAATACAGAACATTTATAATAACACAAAACGACGGCGTCCACGCCAACTTTACAACTCTGATCAAAACGAAAAAAATCATGCGCGCCTTAAACCTGCGCGCCCACACACTCTCTATTCTAGTCAACCATTCTGTCAACATAAATCACAGACGCTGCCGCGCCTAGAGCAGTATACTTAAACTTTAAATCAAAAAAAAATTCTGTTGCTTGCAAAAACCAGGGCGGATACCCTTGTAAGGGTATTCGCACCGACAACGGGCCCTATTTTTCTGGGGCAAGGGGAAATGTTTTTATGGGGCCTTCTCCTTCCTTAGTAGTTATATAGAAAATGATTAGGGTAAGTTGTGATATGAGGGTATCCTTCATGTGCTTAAGTGTTGCTTTGGGTACTGACATGTGATGTGTTACAAATTTTATTTTCATTCAATTTGATTCAAGGCTTGAGTAGTTTCAGCCTCATCCTACAAGGATTAAGTATTTGTATTATCTTTGGATAACAATTATATTTTCATGACAGGTCGGTTCACACGACACAACTTTGTCTGCATCTATGCTTCAACCTAAAGCCTTAGCCCTGTGGTTGATATGTTTCTTAAGAGTTTGACCCATATTTGTTTTAAATTATAACTTTTAAGGTACTGAGTACCTTTTATTAAAAGTTGGACAATGGTTGGGGCTGTGTGCAAGGCAAGGTGCGAGTTGCAGGGAATGGTAAATTGGCTACATGACAATGCGACTTTCTCGCATATGTGTATGTTTTATGCAGGTTAGTTTTTGGAGCTTAATGTACCGGTGATGTTTTGGTTGAATGCTTCTAGAGTCTGATATACAAGTCATACCTTGGGAACAATGAGAATGACACTTGAATGTCACACGATCCATATATCTGATGGATTACCTTCTTTATCCTTACTGTTTTCGCTCAATGTTTTTATGGATACGTGGGTGCTGAAGGAGCTGTTTGTTTATCTTTTGATTCAACGAATGTTTCCGCTCGCATGAGAGATACGTTTTGATTGGTCGAACGTTGATCATGAACCTGAAATTCAAGGTCCTTACCGAGAACATTCCAAGTGTTCAAGACAGAAAGGTTTCCCCTATGTGTGTGAACACTTTCTTTGGTTCGATTGCAAAAGTTATGGGTGTCAGGTAATTCAGCTTTTCAACATGGTTGATTGCATTATAGTCGGATGTCAAGTTTTACTATGGTCATTTGACGCAATCGAGACCAACTGACACTCTGAGTTCTCCTTCTCCTGGCATCAATGTTAGTAGTGCTGGTCATGAGTATAGGAGACCGGACTGCAACAATAGGGCGTCGCCTATGGAACCTCAACTTTTCAGAAGTGGTCGATTGCGCGACAGTCAAGGACCAGGTCCTACCGTGGTTTCTTGATGCAGTCGAGACCAACTGACACTTTGAGGTTACCTCCTCCTGACCTTGATGTTCGCAGCTTTGATCAGGGGTATAGGTTACCCCGTAAGTCTCTCGGGTTCTCCTTTGCAGGTAAGAGTTCTATCTCTACATCCGCTTCATTTGCTGATTCATTACCAGAAAATGAAGTATGGCTGCGGAGGTCCGCTCTCCCTGGTGTCAGCGCGAATACCCTTACGAGGGTATCCGCCCTGGTTTTTGCGAGTGACAGAAAGTAGTTTTGGTTTAAAGTTTAAGTATACCGCGCTAGGCGCGGCTGCGTCTGTGATTTACGTTGACTGGATGGTTGACCACAAATAGCGAGTGAGTGGGCGCACAGGTTTAAGGCGCGCGTGATTCTTTTCTGTTGTTGATCGTAAAGCCGGCCCGGACCTCGGTCGTTTTGCTTGGTGATACTATTATTATTTTTTTATTTTTGATTAAGCAGGAATTAAG